AAGTGTAAATTGAAAATCAATGATAATAAACGACATAAATCAGTTTTAATATCGCATAAGAAACGGTATTTCTAGTCTCTTCTTGCTGAAGAATTTCTTATTCATCTATATCTCGTACGTATGTATATATACGTGCATATATACATGAAATATACATAAATAAAAAATTCTTCTTCTGCAAAAAACGAACACCACTTTATAACTCGCAATTAATCATATTTTCCGAGACACAATTATGAATTGTGACTAAATACATTTCATAAATAATTATAATTATTATTTAAAATTACATAATTATCACCAATAAATGTGTAAGAATTAAACATAAATCTATGAAATACTTATAAACTAGCATTTATAATAATTACTATTAATAACATTTATATTATACATTTAATAGCGTAACGTAATATATTATCCAGAAATGCACATTGCTCAAATCCTTTTGCCAAAATCGATAAAAACATTTCCTTGAGATTATACTATCACTCTGCCATTTTTTTTTAATTTCGTAGATTTTGTGGATGGATTGTGGATATGCCCTGCTTCTACATATACAAGATAATATCGGAAGTATCAAAGATTGCTCGCAAAATTACGACATAAAGATGTTGATAGAGATTATATTGGACGCGCATTATCTTTTGCTTCTTCGTCACTTCGTTTTATTAATGCCTTCCCACCCTCTCCCTCTGTTTTTTTTTTCTAAAGAGCATTCTTCTTTGAACTATCAATTAAGATTAGCATAATTTCACAGAATTTCAATTTTAATGTAGTTATTAAATAGATTTCTTTATCTATCATTCTATTATTGTATTATAGTATTATTTTTATTTTTTTCGTTCTAAGATTAATATAGTTAATATTAATGGATTTCTCATTATTAATTTTATTATAAATATTAATATTATTGATATATTAAAATTGTTGCAATAATTCTTCAAAATCTTTTGACTTTCTGTGAAAGAAAAAAAACATGGATTCTTGAATTGAAGCATTTATGTATTTCATTACATTATTATTTTTGTGCTTTTAGTTTTATATTATTTATTAATAAAAGTATAATTATATTATTAAAAATTGTGCAAAAAACAGTATTATTTTATATAGAGATTAAAAGATGAAAATTCAAGTTTATTTTTTTACACAGCCTCAGCATAGGAAAACGATCCTTACATTTGACACCTAATGTAAGGTCAATTTTCTTGTGTAACTACAACGCAAGAAGATGATTCTTGTGTTTCGGATACACTTGATGTAAAAACCTTTCTCCCCTACCTACAAGCATGAAAAGTCAACTCTATAAGATTATAGGGAATTACAACCCGCTGATTGGGAGCGAGTTCTCGAGTACGCAATGACTTCCTCTTACTTTTCTCGGCGGTGGTTGCATGCTGAAGCGAGTTTTTCCCGCAGCGCCGGGGGTAGAGGAGGAGGGGCAGTTTTGCTCTCACTTGCCCTCGCTCACTCGCGACTCACCCTCTATGCGCACACACCCCACGCACGCACCCTCGTCGTGCACCTCTCGCGTGTCCGTACGCTACTGATCTCCTGCCCTCCTGAGGCCGTCACCGGGGGTAGTACGTCCCTTATTGATCGTCCAATCCTCTAATAGCGCCTGCGCCTCCCCCGGGTCGGCGAACGACTTCCTTTCTGACGACCTACTAAGCCTCGAAAAGAGAGATGAGAAAGAGCAGATAACGGGAAGGGATTGATTGGAAGTCCTTATGATAATTTTAATCACTATAATTAGTCACTTGATATATTAAAAATTAATTTTATTAACTGTACTGAAATATGCTTTGCAAAGTAATGATGAAGGATATGCTCTATTTGTGTAGATAGGAATGAAAGCTCCATCTAGAATGTTGCGTCTATGTGTGTATCAATATTTTACAATATTTTTTTTTATGTATAATGTGTGTTTTTAACTTTCTCTTTAAAACATGAATGATTGTCAAATTAAGAGTTAAATATAAAATTGTAAAAAACAATCCATAATATATTTAACGTTCAAAAAGTCTTACACACATATATATATATAT